CAAAGTCCATTAAATTCCTCCAATAAGAAATTTGGTGCTTTTTTCAAGAAAAAACTCGATTTTTCTTGGGTTGTAGTGCTTTTTCAAATTCAAAACCTGACAACACCGCTCACAGGTGGTCCCATATTAATTTGGTTTAAATCCGATCATCGGATCATGACGAAATTAACGATAATCTAAAATTTGTATATGAGGATTGAAGTCGGTTTTGTTTTTTTGCTTAAAATCTACTTGTTTGAGTTTTATTTTTTGCTTAGAAAGCAAAAGTAGCTTCTGGTTAAGGAATAATAACTAAAATTACCACTAAACCTTAGACAAAGACGAATACGATTGTGATGGAGAAGCCGAAGACGAAAACGAACATGAAGATGGATACAAACAGTGTTGGACATACCTAAATGCTTTTGTATTTAAAGCACTGTTTGCATACTAGATACTGAAATACTTAGTATTTAGAGATGTCTAAATATTCAAGTAGGAATGGACTTAAGCATTCGTGAGCTTGCAAAATACTCAAGTAAAATGACTTAGGTATTTAGGAGCTTTTAGATATTAAAGTAAAAAACTTGGATATTTAGGAGCTGCTAGATATTATGGTACAAACAATGAAAGTATTTAGCAGGCGCCAAATACTCAGGTACTTTGGAGATACAAAGTACTTTCACTGCTCTTTTAACTAAATACTTTATGATTTAGAAGAAATTGAAAAAATAATTCCCTCAACTCACCTTACCACAACTCCCTTGTCCTCACCGCAATCTACTTACCACACACACCTCACTTAAACTCAGCACACCTGATCTAACCTCATCTAAATTTACCAAAACTTAGCTCACCACAACTGAACTCATGACATGAACGAAAGACACAAGATCACGCCTTCCCGAAAGAAAGAAAAAAGTTATTTTCTAGCTGTTGGAATCTCGACGCCATCTTTGTTGTAAGAAGTAAACAACGAAGACAATGCAAAAACCGCGTAACTGTTGAACGCATGAATAATCATTTTTATTATGCAAATTCTTCTATAAATCATGTCGTGTTAAATTATTCCTTATCTTACGTGTACACACGTTGTCACAAGCGGAAATTAAGAAAATTGCAGTAAAAAGCCACCACCAAATTGTAAACAACGAACAAATGTAAACAAACGGCTAATGTCAAAGTCGCCCAAATTTTTCCTAAATGCGATTATAACTGGCTACTAAGAAGAAGGCGTGATCTTGTATTTTTGGTTCATGGAACTCATGACACTCGTTCTCACCACACCTTACCTAAACTCACCAAACCGGGACTTGGTGGGACTTGGGACTGTTTGCTTGATTTTCGGGACTATTACATAATTTTGGTTGTATTTGTCGATCTTGATATCAATAAATTTACCGATTTTTAAATCGATACATATTCGATATTGTTATCAATATATTTATATATTTATCTATATTTTTTATATATATTTATAAAAAATAAAGATAAAAGAGGTTTATTTGCCTTGTTTATTTATATTTTTATTATCACTAATTTCTTGAAACTCTAAAGTAGATCATAATAAAATATGTACAACGAATTAAATATATAAACTTTTAGTTTCCAAATAATATAAATTTCTTTACTAATAATAAAGGAGCTAAAAAAAAAATATTTCATGAAGAAATAACATTTGTTCGTTTTTTAGTGGTTTTGGTTTAAAAATGTAAAAAAGTAATGTATATCAGTTGAAAGATTAATTATGTTTATGGTGACGTCATTAGTTTTTAATTGCTTATGAAGTTCATAACATTTAATATTTAAAAAAATAAACTTTAACTTCAAAAACGTCTTTATATTTAATTGCCACCAAATAATGTTGTCATGGTTTAAATGAGCGTGAAAAGTTTTATTGATCTGCATTTTCGTTTTTGCATAGCTGAACGGTCGGTATTCTAGTTATAGGAAATTACGAGTAACTTAAATTAAAAATGTATATTTTTAAGTATTGTTTAGTATTTTTAGAATTAATAATACTAATTTTACTTCTATGTTGTTGTATACTTTGCGTACTTTTTTTGACGTAGAATACGTCTTACCTTAAGGTATGGGGGCTATGTTCAAATGTTGTAGTTGTAATTTTTAGAGCTTCACAAAAACGCTTATTGCACGAGAACTAATAAAGCGATTTCAAAGAAAAGTGTGGCGTTTCAAAGATAAAATTCCAAACCTGTCGACAGATTCATTTTTGTAAATAACCAATTCGGTTTCTGTCGTAAAAACAACGGTAAACATTGCCTTATTTTGGGGTCAATTTTGAGCCTTTAAAGTGCTCTAGCAACTTATTGTTGGCATATATAACTTTCATTTTCGGGATATAGGTTCTTTGGAGCAGTAGCAATATTATCGGGTACAAATTTTATATAAATTTAACAAATATTGAGCATTTTAAGGCAAAAAATTGTTGAAAAAATTTGCAAATTTTTTTCATTACCAAAATGCTCGAAAACCGCTCGAATGATTTTGTTTTTGTTTCCTTTAATCAAAAATTCAAGAGTTTTCCTTTCGTTTGGTATATGGGAAGTATTGGTTGATATCTTCTCTTCTATATATGTTTATTTTATTCAAATATATGGGCATAAATGATTTTCCATACAAAATCACCTCGTCATCATTTTGCAAACACCTGCATATGTTGGAAGTGTGGGAAGGAGACAAAAAGTATGTATGCGTATGTAATGCGGCTTTTGATCGCAGCGTATGTACATATGTAAATGCATATATACGTACATATGAAAGTTTCAGTTAATGTGGATCTGTTTGGTTTTGTTATCGATATTTTTATCGATTTTGTTATCGATTTTGCTATCGATTTTGTTATCGATATTTTTATAGATTCTGTTGCCGATATTTTAATCGATTTTGCCATCGATATTTTTATCGGTTTTGTTACCGATATTTTCACCGATTTTGTTATCGAAATTTGTATCGATGTTGTTATTGATTTTGCTATCGATATTTTCGGAACTTATCGATATAATGATTGATATTTTTATCGATTTGGTTATCGATTTTGTAATCGATTCTGTTATTGATTTTATTATTGATTATTTATCGGTTTTGTTATCGATATTTTTCTTGATTGTTTTAACAATTTTGCTATCGATATTGTTATCGCTTTTGTTATCGATATTTTTTTTTGTCAATATTTTTATCGATTTTTCTATAGATATTGTTATCGCTTTTGTTGTCGGTATTTTTATCGGTTTTTTTACCGATTTTGCTATCGATATTGCCATCGCTTTTGTTATCGATAGTTTTATCGATTTTTTTATCGAATTTATTACCGATTTTGTAATGGATTTTTTGATAGATTTTGTTATCAATTTTGTTATTGACTTTAGAATCGATTTTGTTATCGATTTTGTAATCGATTTTTCGATAGATTTTGTAATCGATTTTTTATCGATTTTGTAATCGATTTAGTTAACGATTTTGTTATCGATATTTTTATCGATTTTGTTATCGATTTTATTATCGCTTTTGTTATCGATATTTTTTTCTTAGTTTGTGCTTTTGTTTTTGACTTGGATATGCTCTTAACCATACCACGTATTCTACGTTTAAATTTAGCGGGTGTATCTCCGATACAGCCTGCAGACCAAGACGAAGGCGCTGGACTGTTCCTTTTTGTACCTTTCCACTACCGTTTTCGCAAAAGGCAATCACATTCTTCCCCTTTCTCCCACAAGACCAGAATACAAATCTAGATAAAGGAGTGTCAAATTTAAGCTGCCACAAATTACATTTCATATTAGGTTTGCTCCATAAGCTACTTGTAGAAAAACTCGAGCAATGTTCAAACTGTCAGCGTATATCAAATAAACTATAAAACTTACTTGTGGAACGCGTATGTGTAACTCGAATTAATTTCGGATAGCTTGTGGAAAAAACCTATTATTGAATCATGAAAAAGAAGTATGTTGGTTTACTCCACGATTGACAGAATACAAAGGTTGCGCCGATCTCGGACCGCTATTCCTCTTTGACAGACTCGTTGTTTGCATGACGTCACACTTGTGCAACTTGTTTACGTTTTCCTTCCAACACTTTTTCTTCTTCTTCCATTCTTGCTCACGTTTTGGCATTTCTCTCTCGCAATTGCACCAGTGTGACGTCACACAAAAGTTATTCTCAAAAATCCTCTCTGATCGACGCAATCTTGTATTCTGTCATTCTTGGCTTTACTCCTTATGCACGTAGCATTTCTCTTTCAGTGTGATTTTTTGAATTTGAAATTTCAAAAATAACCATTATTTGCGGGCCCTGATTTTTTTCAGGTTTATTTTATTTTTAAAACTTTTTAATTTTCGTTATTTTTTTTCATTTGTATTACTATATTATTTCTCATTTCCATTTAATTTATCTCAGTTTTTGACATTCTCCTAAAACTTCCCTCGTTTTTTAGTTCCTTCGTCCTCTCAAACGCGCCTATTTAAATAAAAAAAGAACATCAACAACTCTCAGCTAGCAACAACAATGGCTGGCGACTCTGAGCCTCGACGAAAACAGCGACGACGCCGCTCTGTCTCTCGCAAACAAAACACAAACGAAAAAGGACATCAACATACACAAACAAAAACTCAAACACACACACACACACATATATGCACACAAATGCAACCATACAGCTCTATAACAGCACAAAAGGGGTTGCGCCCAAAGGCGCGCAGCGCCAGCTGATATTGATGAATGGTTAGTCTGCTGCCTAGGCAGTGGGTTGGTTGGGCGGTGGTACTGCTGTTGGTATAAAGCAAACAAGCAGCAACCGTTAGATGCAGAACACCGTACCGGCAGAAAATCGCTCAGCAGTAGCAGAATGACAGCTGTGCAAAAAACAAAAAAAAAAACAAACAGCGGCAGCGAGAGCAGAAGATAGTCAGCGAGTGAATAGACGAACGGCAAAGCCGAGCATTGAACAGCAGTAAAAGTCTCTGTAGCAGAAGGAAAATTCAGTTAGAAAGTTACGTGAAAAGTCGCCACATCGGCAAAAGTCGTCTACGCGACACGGGCATATTTCACTGCAAAAAAATAGTCCTTTGCGTTGAGTGTGGAAATTAAATGAAGAAAATTAGTTGAAATTAAACAAAAACATAAGCAAGTGAGATTTTGTACAATAAAAATGTGGAAATAATTTTAAGAAAAGCAACTGCATTATAACAAAAAAAAATTGTGAAAAAAATCGAATCGCTGGCAAATCTTAAAGTGAGTGATAAACGTGTATGTATGTACATATGTATGTGCAAATACATAAGTATGTAAATGTACAAGTATATATGTACATACACATGCACAACAGCGACGCAACGCAACGCACACGCACATATCCTTGTATATCCTTTTGAAAAAACTACTTGTAAGTAAAATACACTGCCAAGGTATTCCATAAGCGGAAAGTGAGGTTAAATTACTTATACATAAGTACTTAGGTGGGGGAAGAATACCTAACCGATATGAATGATTTAGATTTCGTAATCAAGCAAGAGGGTTGGGTAGTCGAAAAAAAAGTAAGAAAATATTGATGAATGCCAAAAAGCCAAACAGTGGCAGACGGCTGTGGTGTGTGTGTGTATGTGTGTGGCGCAGGATCAAAGGCAGCCGCAAACAACAGTGGTGGTCTGTGTGGACACACGCCAACAGCCAATTTCAAGTTTTTAACCTTTGCAGTATCGATTACCCCCCAAAAAAAACGGGGAAAACAGTAAAAACAAGAAAACTAAAAAAGCGACAACTCGCCTCATTAGCGGCTTCCACTTCATACACGTTTTCGGCGGACCTGCGCCCAGGAGTCGGAAGTGGCAGAAACTAAATGTAGGCAGGCATTACAAGCGTCTAATAATAATTGTGTGTATGTATGTACGAACATCCATATGTATGTACATATGCGTGTGCATATTTTGATAGAAGTGCGTATGGGTGGTTGTGGGTGGTGGCCAGCAGTGGCACTGCCTGCATATCCTTATAAACTCGCGTATGGCGCAAGAAGCACTGCTGATTTTTGTTAGTGTTTACGTACAATACATAATTATGTACATAGCAGACGATAGACGTTTTGTCGCTACATAATTTCATACATACATACATATGTATGTAGGATAGCGGTACGTACGTGACATACATATGCATGTATACTGACTAACGCATTTTTCTGCGTTCCATTATATATTTTCCGTCAAAGCTTTTTTGTGCCTTTGCTACGTAATTTGTCAATTTTAGTTTTTTATATACACCTTCATAACTAGATATATTCAAGTGTATGTGCTTTAGGGTGGCCCAAAGTTTTTTTTCAGCCACCCCCAGAACTAAAGAATATTGAAAATAAAGATACCCGTATTCTTGTTCATTTTTTGAAATGTTGCATATATTTTACATGCGGAAAATAAGTGTTTTCGTAGAATAGCTATAAAAACGTTTTAAACAAATATTTTTTGATCGAATAAGATCTTTTCGCTGCAGAGAGAAATTTTCAAAAAATTTAATTATGCTGAATGTCGTAGAATTTGTATAAAATCGTTAAAAACAAATATTTTTTGATCCAAAATTTTGTTTTTGCTGCAGAGAGAGAAATTTTAAAAAAATTAAAATATTATGAATATTTAATTTTAAAATCTTATCTCTTTTATACAAAAATGCACATAACACTTAAAAAAATTTAAATTTTAAAGTTAAAACGCATCATAATTTTTTTTTTGAAAATTTCTGAAGAGAAATATTATTATTCGAAGAAAAAATATTTACTTTTAAGAATTTTATAACAATTCTACAAAAACTGTGTTTTCCCGTATAATATATATGGAATATTTAAAAAGCTCCGGCACACAGGGACTAAAAATTGGAATTTACTCCTCAAAGTCGTCCAAAGCCTTCATTTCGAAACCAGATAAATTAACTTTTTCTTAAATGAAAGCCTATCAAATTTGCAAGAGACCTGTTGAGTACAATTTTTAAATTTTAATTTTTTATTTAAATTTCCAGTTAAAAATGTTAGATAATAAAACTTTGGTGAAAACAATAGTAGGGTTCCTCAAACAAAAAAAAATTTCACAAGAAAAATTAAAAATAAAAAAAAAACAAAATTTAATAACAAGAAAACATATAAATTAAATTAACATTTTTGTTTGGAATTTTTAGAAAAGTTTTACGTATGCAATTTTAAAGCCCATTAAATTTCAGTTCAATAAAGCTCAAGTTTCAAGTGGCTTCAAAATTTATATTTGCCCTGCACCTTGCACTAAACAATTTTATATAAACAAATAAAAATTCAAAAACCGGACTCAACAGGTCTCTTGTAAATTTTATAGGCATTTATTTAACAAAAGAAATATATTCAATTGATTGAAAAATGAAGGCTCTGGAGGATAATGCACAGTCAATTTCAATTTCAAACCATTGTGTTCCAGGGCTGCAAATTCAAAAAATAAATTAAGATGCAAAAATTATACCGTTGTTGTTGTACCACAGATAATCATCAGGTCTCTTGTAAATGTTATAATCTTTCTTTAAAAAAAATGGGTAAAATCGGTTAAAAAATGAATACTCTTGTGGATTATAAACAGTGAATGCCAGTTTCAAACGACTGTGCGGCGGCATGGTTAAATATCAACCGATTTGAAAATAAAAAAGAACGGGTCTCCTTATTTTTGTTGTTCTTTAGTTTTGGGGGTTGCAGCGAGAAATTCCAAGAAGTTGCTTTTCCTGCGTATTTTTCGACCACCCTAGTGTACATATAAATGACTATATTAGAGCACATTATTTTAATGGCTTATTTATATATATGCACATGCATACATACATATGAACATAAGTATGTGTATGCTATGTACATACAAGTATAAGTGGAGGATAATATTGTTCTGAAGTCTAAAAGGTGTGAAAAATTCTTCAATTTCGGTTACTACTTTACTGTTAATTTCTTTCATTTTGTTTTTATCTTTTTGTTTCTATGTATTACCCCTAAATGTTCTACGAGTATTTTATTCCTTTTTACCTTCCTTTTTATTATTATTATGATTACCTTCCTTTTATTAGCTCGGGATGTAACTATGTAATATTGATGCGCCTAAAAGATGCAGCGATTTCTATTATGAAGCTACATACCTGACGACACTACGAATTGCAATTATAATAGGGAGGTTTTAGTTTTTAAACTATAAGTTTTTACATTTATTTGTTACAATTTTATATATTTTTGTTGTTTTTTCTATATTATTTATTTGTTAACCGACTTCACAAAAAGGAGAAGGTTATCAATTCGTCGGAATATCTTTTTTGTGCATGTTACCCAGTGTTGCCAGAAAAAAAATTCGCTTGGAGCTAAATCGCTCGAAAAAAGAGCTAAATAATACTAATAGTAGCTCAAACGAAGAGCTATTTTTTGTAAGTTGAGCATTTACTGACGTAAAGTTGCACTTACATTTTCCGTAATTTTAATAAAATCAACGAATTTTATAAATTTAAGTGCTGAAAAAAACTTTTACAACCAAAAGAAGGTGCATTATTTCCAATTCATTGCTATGGCACTTACAACACCTATATGTATGCATTGGGGATGTTATTTTTTCGATTTTTGCGTTCCCGGAATTTTCAGGACATCGTTCATACAATACCGGGATCCCGGGATTAGTCCCGGGATTTGGATATTCATTATTTTCTAACCACTTAACATGAAAAATTGCATCAATATAGTTTGAGAAGCTGTCCTACCATATAATAAATAGTAAATAAATGGGTTTGAAATCTACTTTATTATTTAAGTCAATATTTCATTAGTGACAAAACGCATTTAACAATACTTTAGCATGTACATATCTGATAAAGTGACTTAAGGCATGTCGAAAAAGCTCGATGCAAAACAAAAATTACGTCAAGAAGTTCATAACACTAGTGCCAGAAATAAAAGAGTCTATTTTTCTTTTCTTTATTTAATTTTAAAATATTATAAATATCTACCTCATTTTATATATAATTAACTGCATTTAGATGCGCATTTCAAAATTTGTACAAAAATTATGAAAATGCAAAAAAAATTGCCAAACTTTCAAAATTTTTACTCAGCATTTTTAGAAAACTTTAAGATACGCAGTTTTGTAGCCCATTAGATTAAAGTAGGACAAAATGCAGTTTCATGCAATTACAAAATACCGTTGATTTTTGGGAATTTTTTAAATGATGCTGGGCATTTTCTTTAATATAAACAAATTGTCAAACATACTTTGTATGGAAGCAAATGCGTGACGCCTCTTGTAATTTAATAGGCTATACTTATAAAATTGTGTACCTAAAATTTTTCTAAAAATTTTGAGTAAAAAGATTTAAGCAGTTTGAAACAAAAAAATTTCAAAACTCACCAAGCAATCAATATACTCACGATACTATGGGCCAAATATAGTAAAACTGCTTTTTTAGTTTTAAATTGTTTTATAAGAATTTTATAACTCCAAAGATATGATGAATTCTAAAAAATTATTTAAAAAACTCAGTGCAACGTACATAAAATAAAAATGGGTTCCAAATGAAAGAAAAAATTTTTTGGGTTCACAAGGACGAACAGGTATTTAAATTGAATCGATTTTATTTTTTTTCAGCTAATAAAGTTAGAAGAACTATATTCGAGGACGTTATCGAGTTTATATTAGTCCTTAACATAAAATTTTTTCAAAATAAATATTGCAAAATTTCAAGGATATTTAAGGATGCAATTTTTAAGGAAATTTTCAATACTTAATGCACCAAAAAATTTAATCTGTACTTTGCCTACAGAATTTTCTCTTTAATTTGATACCCATACTGTTTTCCTAAGTACATTGCACTAAATTTTTTAAACCAATTTCTGAATCAATATTCAATTTTCAAAGTCCTTTTAAAAAATCCTGACGTCAGAGAGAAAATCTAAAAAAGGCAATTTTACTGCATATATTTGGCCCATGACTTCGCGAGTATATATATATATTTTTTTTTTTTGTAAAATTGTCGCACAGTGTTATGTGTACATATAATTAGCTAGACATATATAAAAAAATATTAAGTATTAAATAACCAAAAGAAATATAGCGAAAGCTGATCAACATAAGGCATTCTATTTTTGCCACTATTGCAAATTACAAATACTCTACAAATTGTTTAAATCTACATTTTCAGATATTTTA